GCACAGTCATTTTTTTTACTTGAGATTTCCTATAGCTATAAAACTAAAAAAATAAGGCTAATATTTTTAGGTAAAGTTTCAAAACTAGTCTTTCTTTAAAGCTACAAGAAAAGCTCTAGTGAGCTAAATTTAAATCCCTAAGAAGTCTTCAGATTTCGAGGGATTGATATCTCAATGAATAACATAATATGCTAATATGTTCATATAAAAAAACTGAAGAAATATTTTAAAACAAGCCGTAACTGTATTTTTTGAATACCTGAAAAATAAGAGGCATAAGTAAGGAACAGGTAATATCTGACAATTAGAAAAATCTAGTTTGTGGGTTCAATTTATGTTACTGCTTACAACTTGCTATGGAAAATGTCTTATTTTATAGTAGCTATTTTTAAAAAATCACTGGTAAAATTCTGATGGCCATAAACGCTCTCAAACTATTAACTTATTTAGGTTGCTCCTTCAAGACATTTACAATTACTTTATGCTATGCTTACATAAACTGCAAAGTTTAAGAGACAGAGAGAAACGTGACTTACCACAAAGATTGGATATGAAAGTGGGTACGAGAATACAGAAATACTACAGAGCAATTTAAGGCAGCAGAGGAATACTAAGCCAAATTTAAATCGTGGGGGCAAATTACCACCAGTGGACACGAATGAGAATTGGACTTTGACCAAAACTTTATCTCTATACTTATAAAAAGAAATTGGGTGTTATTTTACAGGCAAAAATAAAGCTTTGCTTCTTTTTATGTCTCACCTGAAAGACTGAGAAAATATTTTCATGAGGCAAGAATTTATGGCCAGTGCTACTATTTAGACTGACATTTTAAAGCTATTTTAAACCCTTAGAAATCTTAGTTGCTAAAATTATACAAGCACAAAACACAGAGATTAAATGTCAATTTATATAATATTCTTGCTATGACAGTCACAGATAATTCATTATGACAGTCACAGATAATTCAATTAAATCTATACATGGCAGGGTGTATTGAAAACATTTTTCTGACCTGAAGGTATAGGCTCATTCTAATTCTGACTTCACTATAGTTCACTGTAAGGAAATTGTAGAATTTTATTATTCTTATATGGTCTCAAAATTCTCTAATAGAAAGGTACAAAATTCCTATGTACCATGAATTATTCAATACTATTATTGTAAGCCTCTGATTTAAGAGTTTTAACAGAAAATTATTTACAATAAAGAAGGTGCAGTTGAGGATGGACATAAATTATATCCCTTAAATAAAAACAATGTATGATAATACATCTCTGTATATGTGATTAAAGGCCTTTAAGGCAAATGTTTTCCATGATCCCTTATAGAAGCTTCTCTTACACAGAAAAAATAGAATGCCAATAGGTTTTACTTCTTTCCAAGTACTTTTTTGTTTTACTTCTGGATAGTAATACATTATAGTGAGAGCAAGGAAGTAGTAAGAGCCCTGGAAGGCACACTCTGGGGAGCAGGCATACAATATGTATTAAGCATCTATTGTGTCTGGTAATTTCGTATGTTATAAGAACCCTGAGGTATGAGTATTATGGTCCCCACTGGCAGATGAAGTTGCTGAAGTTTAGGGAAATTAAGAAACTTGCCCAAAGTCACATAACTAACTAGTAAAAGGAGATTCTAAACTTCATACAAAAATATAGTATGTTTAGCTTTCTAAATAATCATAATTGCATCATCTTTCAGTTGTGTTTTACTGACTTTAGCCCCCTTTAAGAGAAGTCTTGAAAATAGATCTATATTATATATTTCCAGAAGGGGTATGCAGTATACAAAAGAATGTATAATTTTAATAAAACATAGAAAGGCTCATCCAGACATATAAAATATAAATTTGTGCAGTCGTCTGTAGAAATTTATTATCAAGGTGGGTTAGCCTTGCTCAATAATATGATACGGCAAAAATTCATCATCACTGAAAACTATTTAAATAATTAATGACATTGTAGACTATCAGAAGCCAAAACACTTCACAGTAAAGAGATCTAGGATTACTCTGGCATGCATTCCATTCAGTTTTATATACACGATAGAATGACAGAGTGTAGAGTTTGGGTGCTTTAGATTCAGATCTGGATTCAAAACTTGGTGATAGGTGTAAGGGAGGTAAGAGACTCAGGTAGTTGAGTTTCTCTGACCCTCAATTTCTTAATCCACAAAATGAGGAAAATAAACAATATAAATTTATAGGGGTAAGATTAAATAACATTAAAAAGGCCTGACTGGCACAAAGTTGGTACACCATAAATCAATGGCACCTGTTACTGCTACAGCTTTTAAATGAACTGGGGATAAGACCTGCCCAAATATGCTCCATGGGGACTACTAGGCCTTCTTGGTAGTCTATGCCCCAGCGAAAGAACACCAGGAACACACTTACAGTAGGTGAAGTTGGTTTTACCTTTTGTTGCAGTGAACCAGAAAGCTCACCAAGGGGCACTGTGGGGTGTCTGAGTAGGAAGGTTTTAGAAAGAGCTTATTCTAGGATTTGGGATTCTGTTTTGTGATTTGGGGAGGCTCCAACGAAGGAGGGGTTCACTCTAGACTGGCTACTGCCACAAAGCAGGGGCAGTTCTACCAGGAGGACAGAGCAGAGTGAGGATAAAGCCACAACTGGAAAAGCAGCAGTAGTCACGTCAGCTAGGAGAAGGCAATGTTTGGCATTTTGTGGGTGGCACAGTGACCTTGTTTTTGTCTGTGCTTAGACAACGTTACAAAACGGTCTTGTTTTGTCTCATCTTATCATGGTCTCAGCATAACCTTGTTTACTGGTGTTCTGAGAAACTGTTTATGTTCTAACACTGAGGCCTGTGTCAGATCAGTTCCTGGACAGCAGGGGCTGCTTTTTCTCAGTATCTTTTCAAAGTATCTAGGAGACCAGATCCATTACATGTGCTTAATAAGCTTCCTGAATTAATAAAAACCTGAAATAATTAATTTAAAAGTAAGGTGTATGTTGTGAGTTTACAAAAATACTTAAACAACTACTTTTAATAAAGAAGCCTGCTTGGTTCACAATTCTTGTTTCAAAAGAAATGGCAGTATAAAAACAACCAATTTAATTTTAGTTTACAGATGGAAAGCCTAAGTGATTTTATTAAGATTAGTCTTGAGCCAAGAGCCAAAATACACTCTGGTCAGTTTACCTTCCTCTGTAAGATGTAATGCTAAACCTCATTAGCAAGTTCTCTCTCTTCCTCTGATTACTGTGCTCAGTGGACAAATTAGTCTCTTCATATTCTTCATCAATCTCCATGGCCATATAAACAAACCTGGTGCCTTTGTTTAATCACTGCTTAGCCAGACTTTAAATGACTGTCCCACAACCACGGTCTGCCTCAGTACCAGTATTTTACTTGAAGATATTGTAAATGAAAAGTGTAACAATCATTATCTCAAGTAACACAGAACTTGTGAGGAAATAAGTAAGGCTTGGTATGGTGAGGACAGTGCTGAATTAGAGTACAGAGAAAAGCACTCGTTCTAGCAGATGCTCCTGGGCTGTCTTAGGGCAAGCTTCTCATTCCTAGTCAATGGGAGAATACTTGGCCAGAGTTTCTCATAACTGGCATATCAATAGCAATAGTAAACAGTTAAAAAGGCTGAGCTCATCAATCCTGTAAGGAATCAAAGCAAATACCAGATGTTAAACTATCTGTTACTAAATGCCCTGATTAATACTTTAAGTATTTGAGGGGGAGAAAAATAGAAAAGTTCATTCAGAAGTTCTGGAGTCTCACAGAAGCAGATATACTGAAAAATCTGCTATTAAATAAAATCAAGACTTAGAATCACTTAATATCATAAAATATATAATAAGTTAATATGTGTGTATATATATATTTTTTACCTATGTATGTGTATATCTGTGTGTATAGACATTGTGAGAAATAAAAATATTTCCAAATATAAATGAAAATAAAGGATATTTATGATTTAAATATCTCAAGTGGTTTTTGTTAATTAAGTTGATGGCTATAAAGGCTTTCAAATTTTTATTAATAACTACAAAAAATCTCAAAAATTTAAAGTATGTTAGAAAAATAAAATAATAAAAAACACCTTTCTAGGACAAAAAGTACTAATACATTTCACCATAAGTTAAATCACATTGTTTATAATATATACTCCTATAATTTTATATGAACATGGACCATAATGTGATATTTTTATTACTTCGGATGCATCCAGTACTCCCAAAATTTACTTCCTCTGCACAACAGAAAAATATCAACAAACACCTAATAATGAGTTCTCATTCATTTTAAGAATATGACATATATAAGATGTAAGTTATATATGTCCAGTTTATCAACCTGAATAAGAGACAAAAAATCAGTGACTAAGTTGCAGCTTTTACATAACTGGTGGGCTAAAAATTTGTATTAGGCAGTCATGGCTTAATTACAGCACTGTCTAGATCATCTACAAAAAAACAGTGATAAAGAGATAAGGGGAGTTTAGCAGAGCATCCAGAAATACAAAGATGAAGAATGAAAATCCTAACTGGGATAGAAGCTGTTCTAGAGTTTATCCACCTGCTCAGTAAATATTGTCTTAAGAATATTTCATAAAAATATAAATCCAGTGAATATGACAAATTAAAAGATGTTAAGAGTCCTCTAGGTATGTCAGGGATCTCAGAGGGATGGTGTCTTATTGGGGAAATATTTAATGATTTCCTTTAGAGGACAATGATAATGACAAATTATCAAATTACGAAACTGAATACTTCCTTATTAAAGCATACATAAAAACCACATAACATGCACAGAGTGCTACTGAATTAGTCAACCTTTTCTAAATTATCCTCAAGTTAGATTAATAATGACATCTAGATTTTTTTCCTAAGAACTTAATTCAAGTGCAAATGAACTTCTCTATCACAATTTTAGGCCAACTCATTAAGTAATTTTGCAGTTAATTCTTGTTTCCTGCCCATTATTATTCTTCAAAGACAGAATTCAAATGTCAAGTCTTACCTGACCAGGTTCTGTTCCAGTAACACTCAAGTCTTGGATGGATCTACGTCTTGGCTGTCCGTTGCCTTTTAAAAAATAAAAAAAGTAAAATACCGAAATCTATTCAGACATACAATAAGGATGTAATTGCTAGAGTAGGAAGTTGGAATTTGTTGCTCCTTGAATCTATACAAAATGTTTGTGAGAAAAAAGAGTGAGTTTATTATTTAAAAAAAAAAAAAAAAGATGTAAAAAGAAACAGCTACAGTGTTTTAACTCAAAAGTTGCCAGCCTACAACAAAATATGTCCTAATACAATAACCACTCCTACCACACGAGTAGCTGCTGAACTCTCTCCCACCATCTTCCGTCATGTATTTAAATAGATGAATGCTTGGGGGATGGGGCTGATGACGGCATCTATTTCAAGGGCCTTACGTTACAGCTTCTACAGCAAGACAGCTATCAGGTTGTAAGACACGACTGACTTTAACCAACAGCAGTACCTTTTTCATTTCAGGGCCTAAAGGGATGCTTAGGCTTTCAATTTATGAAACCCAGGCACACTTAGTTAAGCCTATCAGTCCTTGTCAGAATCAGGTAACTGACTGGCTATGAACAACTCTTTAATTTCTTACTGGAGACGAATGACTCCCATCTGTTCTCAAATATACAGCTTGTTTAAATGGGTGATTGTGTTAATCCTCCTTTAGGAACTTCCATGCTGTAATAACTTAAAAATCAGTTTATCAAAGAATTCTACAAATTTAAGTCTTCGCCAAAAGAGAATGAATTAAGCAATAGCTTTACTCAGCACTTTTATTTGGGAATAGGGATGTTCATACAGATCTTCTGTATGAGAGATCAGTTAAGAGTAACAGCTGACACAATACTCAAAATTCTTTTAACCCTGAAAGCTATATTATGTAATTCTCAACTAGTGGGAAGCCCCAGGAACATGCATTCTAACAGCTGTGTCCTGATTAGCAGGCAGATTTCATTCTTAACATTTCCATTCCCATAATCCTAAGTATCTTATTTTAAACCAATCAGCAATATAATTTAGCACCTTCATCCATGAGACCCCATTACCATTTTGCACATAAACTAAAAGGATCTTACGATAAAATAATATTTGATGCAATAATATGTATAGTGAACACAAAAACTCAAATTTATAGACACCCTTGAAAGTGTAAGACATCACTCTGTTCCACTTTAAGCTATGTTTTGGAATTCTCTGTATAATCATAACTCAAAAATGCACCTCAAGTTTCATTTTATTCCAGTTCCAGCTTTGGATCACAAACTAACAGAATGACAAACTTTATTGAATCAGGCACACTAGGATACTTTTAGAAAACCTTTTAGCTAGTCCTGTTTCCAGAGGAAAAAAGGATCCCCATTACCATGACTAATAAACAATTTTAGGCACATTTCATTCAACACAATCATTCTAAAATTAGCTTACATGAGATAGGTTTGTAAAAGTGTCTGGAATTCTCTTTTCAGATAAGCAACATTTGTGAATCTGGGGAATCACCCAGCACATGTGTCTAAAAGTCATTACATCACCACTGCAATAACAACAAAAACAAACTCAAATCCAGGTGGGGGTAAGAAGCAAGGGAAGTGAAAAATTTTAAGGAAATAGGGTAAAGAAGAGCTGACAGTTAACAAATGCCATAAAATGAAAAATCTTTAAGCTATAGCATGAGTCAAAGCAAGCAATATTAAGCAATGCATTTTAATTAGTATAACCATAGCAGAAACCATCTGGCAAATAGTTCAGACAAAGCAAAAAAGGATTGCAATCAACAAATACTTGTTGCTCCAATATTAAGTTTTAGGTCATAATTTAGAAATATGAATGTAAAAAAATCAAATCCCTTTTACTAAAAATGAAAATTACTGGGTGTGTTCTTAGTAAATTTGGAATTTTTTTGCAACTAAATACTAATTTAGAAATTCATTTACATTGTAGTTTTTTCATGGTTCCTTGATACGTTACACATGGTAGTATAAAAGGGGAAAAAAGGTAGAAAAGAGGGGCAAGGTTCCTAATCAAGGAATCTGAAACCTGAAAATGATGTGCTTAGTATTCTACTCCGTAATGAATTCTGAAACTTTTCATGACTTATGACAGAGAACAAATAATATTCTTTAAAATAATTTTTCTAAGTAAGAGCAACAAAAGGAATAAACTACATCCTTAGGACACCCTACTCCGCACTCCTAAAAAAGGGTGGTTGTAATAGTAGCTTATATAGGTCAATTTAGTTGTACAACTGATTTCCTGAGCTGGTATTTGAAAGATATCAGAGTCCCTCCAGAGACTGCTGGCTTAGGTCTCAAGTCAGTCACTCCTGTGGTTTTTCTTATTGGTTTAAGTAAGCTCAGTTTTCCTTAACTTAACTATTCTGATTTTTCTGTTTTCAAACTTCCTGAAGATTCTCTTCACGTAAAAATGAACACATTTTCTTGGAGATATCTCTTAACAAAAACGTTAAAAATTCTGAGATCCGTAAGTTTTGAATATTAAACATTGTGGAACAATGTGCTCTCCATGTGTAAAATATATAAGATTTAAAAAATTTGCATAGCACTTTACTCTGCAGTATTATATTACTGCTTCGTGGTAAACTGGATATGTAATTTAAAAATATATGTTCTTATTTAGGCTGCAAATTTACAAATTTCATATTCCTTTACTAATACTTCTTTAGAGCCAGGGCCATTGTAGAAGAGGTATAAAAAATTGTGTAGTTTGATCCATAGGAAGTCCTGATGTATTAAAAGGTCCAGTATTAGTAGACCCAAGAGACTACTAAATGGATGAATATTGTTGTTAGCCATAGGTTGTTTGTTCTTCCTCATGAATGGCATAGTATATAACAGTGTTGAAGATCAAACAAAAAACAAGATATGAATTTGCTTATCTATGACTAGGTTAGGCAGTGTAGCTACTATAAAGATGTAGTTTTAAAAAAAATTCTTTTGAACAGTGTATATTTTAAAAATTTTTAAACTTAAAAATGCCAGAAGCAACAAACACTTCAAAAAAGATACATTTGTACATTGTTAGTAAGTACACATAAAATTTTTTGTAATGCTTAAAAGAATGCTCTTATTTAAAAAAACAGTTCATTCTAAATACATCACACTCAGTATACTGCACTTTGCCAAAGGAAAGTGTTATTGAAACTACTTATTTGTAACAGATAAAATTTAAAAATATAGCTCTATTTTAAAAAATGCTTACAACTGGGGTACATCAAAGAAATATCTGATATTAGCACAGAACTTGTAGGAAATTGACTTTGAGGAAAAAAATTCTGGAAGGTATTAATAAATGTGGAGAATAAATCTCCTCCTCTTTTATAATTAATATATCCATGTAAGATATTAGATATATTCTCAAAGCATAGGTTATATTTGTATCTTTAATTTTAAAATACAACCTAAGAACAAATTAACGTTTGACTTTTATGTCCAATTGTTTCAGTTTTAGTGCTTGCCTTCTTTTACTAAAAGTAAAACTGATTAATGTTGGATATTTGGAGTAAGAATATTTAATGAAATGTATTACTGAATACTATTTCCATTTGAACAGCATTGTTGCTCGGACAATTGCAGAATTAAGGTTTTCTGACTCTGTAAGGACCCAATGTTGTAAAAGAGGGTCTCCTGGTTGAAGAGCTCTCTTTAATGCAAACTATTACTCTTCTCTTCTCTTACTCAAACCAAAGAGGTTGGGATCCTGGATGTGTGACTCTGGGAAAAACACTCAACATCATCAGATCTAAGTTCTTCATCTGTAAAATAACTATATGTAATTTTACCTGATATTCCTCCTTGTAAGTCAGTTATGAAGGTCAATTAATTTGATGTACTTTAAACTACTTTATAGGACACACAGAGCATCTATCTAACCAAGGTTTCTTAGCACTGGCACTGTTGACATTTTAGGCTGGACAATTGGCTGTGGGAGGCTGTCCCGTACAGTGTAGGATGTTTAGCAGCATCCCTGGCTTCTGCCTACTATATGCCAATTGTGACAACCCAAAATGTTTCCAGACATTGCCAAATGTGCCCTGGGGGGCAAATGAATTCAGATTAAGAACTAATGAAACTATTATTTTCTCCTCTCTCCCTCAACTTGTACAGTATTGGCTGTATTGCCCACTGTGTGTGTGTGTGTGTGTGTGTGTGTGTTTGTTCTTAATGCTTACCTGAAGATTATACTACCATTTGTCTAAATTTTCCTGATTCCTTGAAACATTTAATATAATCACAGTTCAGAAGTATGTGCATTCAAATGTTGCTACTTTGGTTAGAATATTATTCCCTTAAACAGTACCTTTAAGCATGAAGTAAAATGATTTCAAGTTCTTGTTAATTTTGAAAGCAACCCATGACTCAATAAATAAAATTACAATGTAAGAAATAGGCTAACTCTCTTCTCTGAACAGCAATAATGATGATGGAAAACAAACTACTTTGATAACCAGAAAAAAAAGTAATTACTCTAATATAAAATGGTTTTGATACACAAAATGCCTCGTAGGAATTAATTTATATTTTATATATATTTATAATTTATATAGATTCTATTTGTATACTAGTTCCTGGCCACTGGACCTAAACAATAGTTTGTTCATTTAACAGGCACATAATTATTAAACATTATGTGTGAGGCATTGACCAAACAGTACTGATACAATCATTACTAAATAACAAAGTCATTGTCTCTATCCTCAGTTGTCAGTTTCCTAAAGGCGAAAACAACTACTAGGTATTAAATTATAAAACAATAGTACGCTAAAAGCACAATCACAGGCAAAGTACCAGGGTGCTGGAGAATTCACCCAAAGCAGACCCATGAGTGTGTGTGGGGAAAACTGTATATTTTCTTATAAAAATTTGGAGGGAAGAGGTAAAGGGAAACCTAAAGCAGAGGGATAAAAAAATAATTTGGATAACACATATTAACCAATATTGAAGGTCACACATGCTATTTAAGTTTCTATCAAAAATGGCGATTCAGATTCATCTATGAAATCATCACCATAAGAAATAAAAGTAATTTACCAATTTGAGACACTGAAGTGCCATGTGTGAATTAGGTATAAAAACAAGTAATTTGCAAGAAGATTCTCCTGACAATACACAAGAATCAGAACTGACCACAATTCTCTGGCAAGATACCATGCAAAACAGCAAATCTCATTTAATTTGACTTTGCTTCTGTTTTCTAAGTTAAGGTAAATGGTATTTAGCAACTCTCTTCTCTCAACTCCATATTTCACTTGCTACCAACAGAAAGAGGCTGGGATAGGAAGCCTGGAGGGAGGCCCAAAAGTAGTAACTAAGAAAGACAAGGAGCCAAGGACAACAAACACTTTTAAATAGTTGTTTCCTCTTTCTGCTGGGTGCAAAAAAGGTCTGGGTTCAGTTATCTACTCACCTAAGAGCTGAGAGGAAGGCGGTAAAGTCTGGGCCGGCACTGTCCCTCCTGTGAAAAGGTTACTTTCCTTCTATTTATCCTCATTTTTGGGTATCTGAGGTATCCTGTCAAGCCCACTTCAGTGTAGATAAATGTATACAGTTTTCAATCTGTCTCCCTAATTACTGCATGCAAGGTATCTATTTTCATGTCCTATAAAAATTGGAGCAAGAAGCATTTTGTAAGTACCAGGGATCATTACTCCAGTTCCACAGTTATTGGACCAACTCGGGTGGTCTATGATACCTGATATGACGATCTCAGGGACATCCAGAATGTTGCCAAATGAAGCAGTTTTACGATGGCCCCGTTTAGGCTTGGAACAGGCTGCAAAAACACATATATACAGTATACATGCAAACAACCACAAATAGTAACACACAAAACAATAAATTACAAAAACAGAATAGTTTTCAAATAGTTATGTTAATAACACTCCGTGCAGAAAGGCATGCAGAACTATCTGACTTTTCATCCATGCTCAGAAAAGGCGTGATTAAGGAGCAAACAACTACCAATACAATATGTTTCACACACTGGCTTTAATTAGCAGAAGAAAAACAAAAACAAAACAAAAATGGACAGAGAGAAACAAAGCTGCAGGGTAATGAGGAAGCTAAATTCAAACATGTTTATAGAAACAATCTACCTAATTGAAACCACTGATATGCGATGGAGGGGCTAGGATGAAAGTGGGAAGGAAGAAAGGAGTTAAAAGAAATAAGCTGCCATATTTGTTTTAATTACAAAAATACAGGAATATAGTTCAAGTTAGGTGTTTCTTGAAATGTGCTATTGATTAAATGATAACTGAGTCAAAGTATAAAATACATATGCTTTTATAATTATAAATATTTACATATACTTCTAGTAAACTGAATTATTTATTATAGTTTCCAAAATTTAGGGTACATTCCTGCTAAACATGATTAGTGTTGAAAAGCTGGAGAAAATGAACTTTTCAAAGTAAGGTAATTCATTAAAAAAAATCTGAATTGTGTAGAATTCAATGGCTGTTCAATAGCACCTGTTAAGGTTGAAAAAGGATAGGGTAATTTAAATGTACGTGGTTATCTTTAACCTAGTGAAGTATCATTTCTTTTCAAGAATAATTATAAACCAGTACCTGACTAGAAAATTGACCCTAGCAGATATAAAGTTATTACAGCACTACTCCCTGTTTTAAGGTAGCAATCACTATTTGGTAGGTTTACCTTGAATGATATCCCTGCGGTGGAAAAGATTCCCCAAAATGTGAGAGCATATCTCTATTCATCTGACACTATAGTGAGACTCCGTCCCTCCACAGAAACACTTGTAACTCATAGAGACCAGGAGAGCTTGTCAGTGGCTGGTGACCTCCAATCAACTTGATCCTTTCTGAAGACCCATGTGTGTGGCAGAGACTGCTAGTGCCCAACCAATCACAATTTTTCTTAGCAACAGAGCCCTCACTTTACTAAGGACAGCAATGTTCCCACATAAAAGATCACAGGTCCTTCTTTTCCTTGAAGCCATATGTAGCCATCTGACCCTACTGCTATGGCCAATAACACATATGTAGAAGTTGTTCTGGGAAACTTCTGGAAAAGCTCCATGACGAGCTGGGGGATGTGCCCTTTGGCCTTCTCCTAATTTTTCCTTCCTGCTGTCTGGACTGTGTGGATGTGATGACTGGAATTGGAACAACCACCTGGAGTACAGAGTACCCTTGAAGATGGAAGCCACACAATAGGGATTGTGGTACAGAGGGACCAAAGGAGTCGCCTAATGATCATGAGCTTACCTCGAGATTTAAGTGTCAACAATAAAAGTTTATGTGTTGGACACTGTTATTTTGGATATTCTGTTATATCAACCTGATTCTATTGCTAACTAATAAAATCAGCGATCGTGACTAGTTGAAGACAAGTGTAGTATAATGGTCCTCTGCACAACTTTTATCTGAAAAGAGCTCCACACAAAATGAGAATAGTCAATTTAGAAAAAAAACAAATAAATGACAAAAGACCTAAAAAACAAAAACAACAAAAACCTGGTTAGCTAATTTAAAAAATATATATGCTAATATACATGTACACACATATATAGTTAAAAGACTAGAGGTAAATACATAAAAATGCTGTGTTTATCTCCGAGTGGGACAACTATGAAAGATTAAATTTTTGGTTTATATTTCCATTTTTCACAACAGTAATTTAGTTTTATAATGAGCTTCCCTCCACCCTGCAGGAATCGGAAAGAAAGCAAATTAAACTAGAAGTACTAAAATGAAACCTGGTTAGAAAAGAATGTTAAATGTTCACTCAGGTAACAACATATATAATTTCTTTGTGTGACCAGTCCTTCCATAATTAATCATTTTAAGAACTGACAAAATAGAATTTAAATGTTAACTTTTTCAAGATCCAATAAAATTAACATGATCTTTACTTTTATAATTAACCACAACCAACTTAGCTATCTTTGCCACTAGCAGGAAAAAGGAGCAGACAGTAAGGCCAAATCATATGTGGATCTGGAGCACATGTTTTTGCTAATTTCAAAACAAAATATTTGCTATTATTTGAGTTTAGCACAAAATTCTAATAGAATCACTCAAAATATTCCAGCCCTGGCCTGTGTGGTCCAGTTGGCTGGAGAATCATCCCATGCACCAGCAAGTTGCTGGTCTGATTTCCCGTCAGGGGACATACCTGGGTTTCGGGTTTGATCCCCAGTCGGGGCGCATGCAGGAGGCAACACAGGTTGGGTTTTTTTTTTCTCTCTCCCTCTCTCTTAAAAAAAAAAAAAAATATATATGTGTGTGTGTGTGTGCGTGTGTGTACATACACACACATGCACACACACACACATATAAAACTTCCAAAACATTCTGGTTGTGGTAAAATTTCAATTTCTCATTTAGATTTTCTATTCATGTTTACACTGAAATACATTTGATAAAATCTGTAATTAATAAGGTATATTTTATGATCCAAATAATTTTATAAGCCATTTGGACTTTGAGATATATGTATAAAGTATTGCTATAAGCTTAGAAAGTATACTGTAAGCCTACTTCCTGCTTTAAAAAATTTTAAACCCCCCTGATATTCCCACTACTGAAACAATTGAAACTATCATTTTCACGCCTCTTCAGACTTTTATTTACTTTTTACCTGTGGTCGCAGAAATCCTGGCTTCTATTTCAGACATGTCAGCACTCATCCTCTTGCCCTCGGAAGTTGGGGGCAAGCTCTCTACACTGCTCCCACGGGACGCTCCCAAGCTTAAACGGCCAGATTCACTCTGTTAAAATTACAGGTCAATTTGAATTACTGAAACTCTTTAGATTTAAAATCCTAGACATCCTAGAAGGAAGAAAAATAACAACTAGAAATCTTATGGGTTCTGTTCTGCTTATGAAAGAAAAAGGAAGTTTTCAGGGAGAGGGAGCTAAAGGGCTTAGGGAGAACAAACAGCAATACTGGCCTTTAGAAAAGGGTGGTCACTGGAGTTTGGAGTTAATGTCCCAATTGTTAGTTAACCTAAATGCCTCAGGCAAGATAAATACAATCACACCTTAAAATATTTTTAAACCAATAATAGTAAAAATATAATAAATCTGAAAAACATGAAATGATAGATTTAGGCCAATTCCTTTAACTGGGTAGTACAGACAAGAAATAGCCATTTTAATATTTTAAACAGCAACCATTAAAGTTAGAAATCACCATGGGGAGGGAGCTGCACAGTTGGCAAAGGCAGCAATCATCAGAAGGGAAAACAACTTGGTAATTGGATATTCTCATTATGTCTCTCTCTTAAGTGTATCTGTTTCAGCAACAAGATTCAAAATTTGTATAATGGAAGATGGCAAATCATTTCAGTTGGTATAACATTATGACTACTACTAAGGTTACCATATGATTTTACTTTTAGTAACAAGACAAACCTGTTGCTTTGCCTGATTTTTCAGTAATTTTGATTCTAAGCGCTTAATAGTATCGTTTGTGGAAGGAACTTGCTCCATATTAGTGTCGCTTTTATTACTGGTATTTGTAGAAGCGATGTCCATGAATGAGCCTAGGAAAGCCAAAACATTTATGATTAGAGGTTAGGAATAATACACATGCTTCATTCAATATGTAACATAAATTCTTTTCTACACTAGCAAGACATAAACAGAAATAAACACGACTTTCCAAGCTAATGAAGACAGCCCCCCAAAACCTCATTTTAAATGAAATTTAAGATAGCACAAAAAGGGAACCAAAATGCCTAAATAGTCTTCTCATGGTCAGAGATGACTTTACAGTTGTTAGCCTGAGCTAGTAGAATGAAGTGGCTACTAATCAAGATGGGGAAGCTCATCCTAGGAGTTTGAAGGAAGTGCCAGGAGCCTCATTTGTTAAATAAGTTTGTGTTCCTATTAGATATCAAACAAATAGTTGGATGAGTGCAGAGTTAAGGTCTGGGGTGGAGCGAAACATCAGCAAATAGATAGTATATAAAGCCAAGATATTAAATGAGATTACCAAGGAAATGAGAGTAGACAGATAAGTGAAGAGGCCAAATTACTGAGTCCTGGGCACTCCCAACATTTATAGGCTGGGAAGATAAGAAACAATCAGCACAGGAAACCATCAGAATAGTGGCCAGACACATAAGACAATCTTGGCTAGTATGGTATCCTGGACACCAACTGAAGAAATTCCTATAAGAAGAAGAGTGTAATGAACAGTATCAAGTGCTACTGATAGTCAAAGAGGGAAGCACTGCTAGAATGGGATTTAATACACAAGTTCACAGGCTTGCCTTTGGCTAGAAGCAGACAGTTCAGCCATAGTAACAGAAGAGAATGCACAGCAGATGGGCACAGATACAGGTAGATTGGCAGATGTAGTGAAGGAGCTTATGGAAACAATCTTCTGATTACTCCAAATTATTCAGAGAAATAGAAAACTAGGTCAGCTGAGTGAGGAGTGAGGAGGAAGTGTGTAAGTTTGAGGACAGGGGTTAATATATAAAATTAAATCATCTAGGAGAGAGGAGATGGACTAAAACAACTGTCCAGCACTACTAAATAGGCATTTGAGGATAGTAAATGTGTCATCTCCAGCCACATTCAGCTGCACTGATACAGACAAGGAGTAAGCTGGGAGTCAGATTTAACCAGACTTGGGGTTTAGCCAAGCAAGTTTGAGACAAGGGATAGAAGGCTGAGAATTATCCCCAGTAGGATTATAATAACTGCCTGGAATTAAGTGGAAGAAAAAAGGAAGAGCCTAAGAGGACTGAAGGTCAGTGAAAAGGTGAAAGGACCGAAGGGTTGAAGGTCACAGTATAAAAAGAGGGAGAGGGTTTGAAGGCAGTAAAAGAAGCAAAAACCAGAATTTTAGAGTTCACTTTAAAATTCAGAGCAATTCAAAAGATTCAGTAAAACTGGAATGAAATTTTAAAAGCTTAAAATAAATATAATTATTTTTGAGGTGGGAGAAATAGTAAAAATATTTGTCAATAAAAATATTAAATACAGGATAAATACATGTATATATACACATACACCTTTTAATTTTAATTAATATGTCATAATGTATTCCCAAATATATATTAAGTACAATTGTTCTAAGTTAGAGTATTATTTCTACTATCTTTTTTGATGACCATAAACTACGAAGCCCACTACTACTTCCTATTTAGAAAACTGAGGAACTCTGAACTAAAATTGTAGAAGAATCCTGTAGACTCTTCTATAAAGAGCAAAAAAGTAGGGTGTTCATGATGAACTATGTTGTTATATATATTTACAATACTTACTAATACTATTTCATCTAGCAGTATCTATATAAAAACTATTTTTCAAAGAAAGAATGACATTCACAGCAATGCAACATCCAATCTTTTTATATATAACTAAGTAAGAATTCCAAGACTTGGAAGCACGTCTTCAGTAACTCTTTAATCTTGGACCTTAATGAAGAATGATGCACCTGGAAACTCAAACTGCAGTCAATCGTACGAAATGAAGAAATTAAATTGCAAATGGGGACATCGTTCATTGCTTCTTGATTATAATTTCATGGTAAAGACACAAAAAATTAGGTTATTACTCTTCCAAACTATCTATTTACCTGTACTGGTGGCAGAGTTGCTCTGTCCTTCATCTGAATACTGACAAGGGTATTGTAACGGCTCATCTGCTCCTGGAAAGTACTATATATAAAAAAAGTAAATCCAATTTAAAATTTCTTTAATACAAATTAAATCCTGTAAAATTAACTTGAAGAGTACACCTGAATTATTTTGCTGTCATGGGATTTGAATTCAGCAAAGATGCTGCTTTGTTTTCCCTAAGGAACAGACCAAATTATTTAAGTTTTTGATTTTATAAAGATGACAATAACGTGCTCCTTTTCTGTATTTCAATTGTGATCAACACCACGTACTATATATACCTAAGTAGTATTTTACACAGAGACCAGCGTCTTGAAGAAAATAGCAAATATTTCTCCAAGGGATCATGTGAAGTACAATAGTATCATTCCTCATAATTATATGAAACATATCTATGTTCTCATAGTCGTGAGGTAAACTTCCACATTGTTGAAATAACTGTTAGTCTGACAACTGAGACTGATGTGTCATAGGATGATTGTTAGGATCAATATTTTAAATAAAAAGAACAGATTATGGATATCCCTTTATGAATTGGATATATAATATTAGAAATATTTACTGCACAAAAATTAGAATTTAGGAACAGATTTCTTTTAAAATTAAACAAAGCATATATTAAGCACAATTACAATTTGACCAATTTATATACCCTAATGTTTTAAGGTATCTGACTACAGAGACTAAGATGGTTTCTAATGAACACATCTTTAGGGCCCAGAACTCACTCTCTATATATAGCTGGTACCCAAATATGATGGTAAGTTTTAATCAAAATAGTTCAAGCTGATTTACCTAAATTATTTTCAAGAGAATGAACAAATTAAATCTTTGGCCATTTAGGAAATCACTTAGCTATATTTAAGAAAATTGAAAGATTCTTCTACTGAGGAAATTGTGCTGAAATTCAGGTACTTTCACAGTATGTTAACTTTTAAAAGTCAGGGTACAACTTGATAGATTTTGCTAGTGCACCAAAAACAAGAGGCCTAAAATTATTCAAATAATTCTAAAAGTGTCTGATGTATAGACTAGGAAATTTTGATAATCATTTAAAAGGCTTGTTCTAAATTGAAAAATCCTATAAATTCTAGAAGAGAGTTTAACTTTTTATTGGCAAATGAAAAAACAAAAGGTAAAAAAAAAAATCACTTAAATAAATGTGTTTGGAAATGCAATTTCTCTGTTGCCCTGCATAAATGACTGCTTGATGAAGAGCTGTACTAAAGAAAGTTAAAAATTTAGTTTAGCAAGTATTAAGAGACATAAAATACCTAAAAGTCCTCTAACGGCCTTAGAGACAGCCTAATCCAGCTTCCCTCACATTACAGATGAGGCAACAGGCCCAGAAACAATCACATTTATCCACTAAGTTAAGCAGGAGGAAAAAGCAAGTTCAAAAACGTAGTCTAGTCCCTTTTCATTATAAAGAACTAGATTCCCCCCCCCCGCCAAAATAATATTTCCTCCTCTGATTACTGAGTAATAAATGCCCTTTGTAACTTGGAAAATACAGAAAAATATAAAGCATAAATTAGCAATGTCCTTTTACTGTTAAACTCCATTAAAACTCAGTATACATCACATTCTCCTAAACCCAAAGCCCCTCAAAAGAAGGATTATACCCGCATCAAGTGAGTCATTATTTTCACAATCTCCTCCATTGAAGGGCGCAGAGAAGGATCTTTTGACCAGCAGCGAGTCATCAGGCTTTCAATGGGCTTAGGTAAATTTTTGATCAGTGGTGGTCGAGTACCTATAATTAAAAATTAAAGGAGGAGGAGAATGTATTAACCCAAAGAATTTTATCAACTTTTTATATGTATTTCTAAAGCAGTATTTATTTTATACATCTTGTAATTTCAGATTTTTTTTGGAGTAATAAATGTATGTTTCCTTTTGGTCCTTTAGGTTAACACTGTATTTTCATAAAGGGGAGAAGCTACACTTTTCGAAAAGTTAAAGATTTTATATGCAGTATGGTAACAGTAAGCCTGAGAATTAATAGTATTTCATTTGTTACAAATATTCTTTTAACAAATAATAATGGCTTAATGTGTTTTATTAAGAAGAATGAAGTAGTAGCTTGGGGTAGCTTGAACTATATTTTCAGATTCATTGCAAAAATTTCAAATATGTTTGAAAAATCATCTTCCATACCTAAATCTCATCTCCAAATGACTCTTTTGTGGGAGGCAGACCTTTTGGCTGCGGTGAATCAATCATTTCATAAGCTGAAAACTGCCAATTTTTGTGTAATCACCAAAACTATAATATTACTAGTAAGGTACCTACCTAACTTAAAGAAGGCCTCAAATACAATGAAACTTTTGTAATTTTATCAATTAACAAGTTAGTTCTTTTATACCTTACTTCATTGACATTCAATTATTTACTGACAATTGACAGAGAGAAAAAAATGTCTTGGTCAATGCTCTAGCATGCTCTACAATGACATTAAAGGAAGTACAATGAAAGGCAGTACAGGAAACTGGTAAAGTGTTAAGATTACTCAGATGACAGTACTGTAGACACTCTACAAATGACTTAAATAGGCAGATATCTGTTTGCATCACTTGTGAAATAGTGTATTAAAATGCCAATAATCAGAATGATTACAATTAAGTGACAGAAATTAAATAACAGAGAGTGATGTTAAAAGTTAGGAAGGTTAAGTAATTTCCCTTCATGAAGAATTTATTTTCCCAAAGCAAATGTGAAGTAACTTGATTAATGAAGAAGATGAATTCTAAAATCACGGGTGGTTAAAAACATTCTAATTAGAAATATAAAATGAATAGGAGGGATTCATTTTATATTTCTGAGTCCATAAGCCAACAGAACTTAAAAATGTGAGCACTGGAGTCAAAAAGATGTGGATTGAATCCCAGCAATATCAGTTACTAATCTTTTTAAAAAAAATTCTCACCCAAGGATATGTTTATTGTTTTGAAGGGAGAGGGGAAGAGAGGGAAAGAGAGGGAGAGAGGAGGAGAGAGGAAGAGGGGGAGAGGGAGAGAGGGAGGGGGAGAGG